CCCTTGATCTCAGCTATCAGATCTGAGCAGATGGCTTGAGTCACAATGTCATTAGCTAGCTTTTAACTGTTAGATCTTGATCAGACGGCTCATAGTTTTTTGTTTTTTATTTTTATTCTACAAACAATTTTGAAGCAAAATTTGGTACATGCATAGATTTGTCAAGTGCGCACATGATAAACATAATAAAAAAGTATTTGCCATGATGAAAAATTACCAGAATACCCCTAAAAATTATAAGGGCATTTTGGTATTTTATTTTTATATAAAATACTTGTTTTTTTATATTTTTCCTAGGTTCTCCCTAATTTTATGATTGGACGCCTAAAATTTTATCAAAAAATATTTTTTTAAAAAAAAATGAAAAATAAAATAGTGTTTGACATGACATTGTGATATGAATAACTGCAGCTGTTCGATTCATATCGAACAGCTAAGAAGCAAGATCACATTAAACGTATATGTTGTGGTCACATGGAAACATTTCCCATGAAAGATATGTGCGCACCATAACGTAACCCATATTAAAGTCGATTAATATTGTTTATTCAATTAGAGCGCATCCAGTGATTTGCAAAAAGAAAAAACAGTTTCTGGTAAACACCTCCACAGGTGGATGTTGCATTTATAATAAAGTCCATGAGGATATCAATTTTCTCTGATGGCTTGCACTCGCATTAGTGAACACTTCAACACCATTCAATGCAAGCTCAACATAAGGAGCATTTGGTGTATAGAGCTCTCCACAAACTTCAGTAGCAACAGATCTGGCAAAGAAAGCATTCGATTAATGACTTTTTGACATAGTATAAGCCAATAGAGGAACCACAGAAAAATTCAAGCATTTAAAACTTAAAAGAGTTTTAATAATAATAAATAATTACATAGAATAAATAATAATAATCATCGTCACTATCATCTGAGCTGTATCCCAACCATAGCTAGCAAGTTGGCGAATAATAAGAATATCGGCGGACCAAAACATCATTAATAAATCAGTTTTATTTTGAAAAGTTGGAGGAAAAAATCCGGTAAAAAATACAAAGCTGCCAAAAAATAAGGTAAGTTATAGAATCATGGATATTTCAGATTTGGTTAAAAAAAACGTAGTAACAC